CGAGTGAAATCTTGAAAGCTCTCACGAGGCTATGTTGAAGCTGCTATGTTGGAAAAATCTGCATCCCCGGCTTAAGGCTTTGTCTCTACTTAATAATCACTGCATTCATGTCCATGTATTATATTAATTCATCAAATTTGAATGTTATTACTTCTACCAATGTAATAAATGGATACATTTTTTGTCTTTTATTCAGTGACAACATTTTTTAAACTTAAATAATTTTCCTCCTTTATTCCTATATAACCTACTTGTCCAATGAAAACATGCAGCATAAAATAAAGTCGAAAGCAAAAAAGTCACTCGTCTTTTAAGTGCAGAGAGCCTCAGCTATGTTGTATCAAGCAGAGAAAATGGATTCATCTCAGCAAAGTTCACCCAGCAGAGATAACAAGGCGGCGACAGGAAAAAGGCAAAAAAAAAAAAATATGGATTAAAAAGATGAGGCCAAGAGGCACCTACTGGGTGATGCGACCATTTTACAGACAATCAACTCTGGTGATGAAGATGTTCACTAATTGCAGCGCGGATCAATAATTAATGTATCTTCCAAGCATTTGTTCTGACACTTGTGTCAATTCTTGGATTTGCTTTGATTAAACTTTACAGCAGCCAGACTCGCAGTGTCCCTGCCACGGCTGAAACAAAAATCAATGAACAGAACGCCTCCTATAAAACCCAGAGAAATATTAATTTAATAATGATTTAATGTGAAAACAGATTTTCTGCACAGTTAAGATAAATATACTGAGACTGAATGAGTTACTTGCTTTTTCATGTTAATTGGAAGGTGGTGCAACTCTGCTTTTTGCTATTTTTTTTCTTCTTTCCCTGCTTGGCCCTGCAGGCTTGGCAGTAACATTTATATGCATTTACAGCAACTCCATCTGGCCAGAACGCTTCTTTGGGAGAGATATGGAAGGAAAGTAGAAAAGAGGGAAAAAGATGGATGGCAGGAGGCAGAAAGTGGAGGAGAGACACATCAAAGTGGAGAAGTTTTCTCTGGAAGCTGTAGGGAGATGAGGGAAAAAGGTAAGCCTTCATCAAACACAAGAGCTTCCTTTGCTTCAAACGGTCCCAGCACAGAGGCGGGATGAAACGAGATACCTTCTACTAAACTGGAGTCCGACTGTGCTGCTGGGAGAGCATGGATGCGTGAGCATATTTGCATTTTTTAATGCAGCCAGGAGCCTGGACAGTAATTGTGTATACAGTGTTGACTTCTGCTCCTTTTCTGATGAATTATATTTCCTGTTATGATTCATACCAGGGAGAACAGAGAACGTTCACTAATTTGGTACCTTCCAATAACAGCCCATGCAACTGCTTTGTTTCTGCTATAACATAATGAGGTTATGAATTTTCATACAGCATATAAGGTGTTTCTAAACATTTTTTTTTCCACTGTCAGACTTTAAATCAGCCCAAAAAATTGCTGCTTTAGGTTATTTAAATTATTTATAGCCACTAAATGCAAGAATAATTAGGCGTTGCTTCCACCCACCAACTATTGGAAACAAAATATACCTTTATATATAAAGAAATACATAGAATACAGTGTAAAAGCACATATTTTATGATCAGTCACTTCAAAAAATAAAAAAGATGATTTTATAAGGCTTCTATTCATTGCAGTTTTGATGATTATTGCTTATTAGTGTCTCAGAAAATATCAAATTAGAACAATCAAAAAAGGGTGTTTTGAGCACAAATGTCAGGCTTCTTAAAAGTATGTCCATTTCTATGCCCTAAACATGTTGATAGGCCTCCTCTTGCATGTTTTCATGCATCAATGCGCCGTGAAAAAAGAAAATGATACGAGAAGGCTTCTTCCTGCTGCTGATGATAACCATCCTAGAAAAACGTCTCCCCTCCACTTAGTGGGATCCTCCCTTCTGAAAAATATTGATGACCATCTTCTGGACCTCTCAGTACCAGAGTGAAAGAGCACTAAGAGGCTTAGGAAACCTCTAAAGGTGTTTTGAGGTACCGTATTTTCACGACCATAAGGCGCAGTCTCAGTTATGTGTGCCATTTCTGTATTTAACACACACATAAGGCGCACCGGATTACAGGGCACGGGTTTTATATACTGGTA